AATAAAACTGATTACATTTGCTGTTTACATATGAAAGTTTGCCAAATTGTTACAAAATGTTTGGCCACAGCAAGGCTACGTATTCACAACATATTGTGGTAGGCACAGTATAACTGGACTGAGGGAGGGCGGTATTCCTCCTTGTGGGTCAACCGCTTGGCAATATGGGACGGGAAAACTGCAGTGGGTGAGCTCGAGGGCAGTTAAGTTGATGGTGCAGACAGATCATTTTACAAATGTGAAACCTCATTCCACATAGGAAGAGGCGAAAGCTGAAACTTGGTGAGATTTACAGAACAAAGGTGGTCATGTCTAGTTCTTTACTAACTCTCGAGGATACATTAATTTTAATAACAATGTGTGTGTGTGTGTGTGTGTATGTGAGTGAGTGTGTGAGTGTTTGTGTGTGAGTGTGTGTGTGTGTGTGTGTGTGTGTGTGTGTGTGTGTGTGTGTGTGTGTGTGTGTGTGTGTGTGTGTGTGGAAGAAGAAGAACTATACAGCAAAAAAATGGCTTTATAGTTCGTGTAGGTATGTAGAATGTCCGGCCACTGTATGACCTTTGAGTCACTATATTTTCAGTCATTAAAATGCGCAAAACATTATTTGAGTGAAAGAAAACACTATAAGTGAGTTAAACAAAAGACATTAGTACAGGCACACCAAGTCCCCAAACCCCAAGTCTGCATGTATCAATACTCAAACGTGCCACATCCTCACCCACTTAACCTACTCGCACAATCATCTCACAACATGTTCGCCAACCCTCGTATCACGACCCATGCACGCACGCACCTCATGGGAGTTGTAACGAGGTCACAGGTCAGGCGCGCACTCGTCAGTTGTCTGATACAGTCTACAGAAAGATCTTTCTGAAGACCACTGCACTAGAGGCATGTGGATTGTTGATGAGGTACTACGTGTTTGGAACTGGGAGTTGAACACTAAGCGCTCACCACGAAACGTTATGGACTCGCGGACGGACTTGTGTTTTGATTTCAAGACGTACATGTATCAGGTTAAACTTCTACGACGGATATAGCTTGGTTACCGCTCCCTAACTGTAACATTAACTGAACTTTACGCCTTTTATACACATTTGTGATGGGGCGACAATGCGACAACGAGACATATTTTATCCAGTTGATTTGATTAGAATATACTTCAGTGTCAGTGTATTGTATTTACGCCCCAAACCGTAATGTAAACACATACAATATCAGATCATATACACGCTCTGTGCCTTGACTAGCTTTAATAGGCCATCCCGGAATTTTCCTGGAAGTAGTCAGTGTTTAGGTCATTTCAAGAATACAGTTACGTGAAAAACGTCATGTGACCGACCTTTCGTCCAATGGAAAAGCCGTATATCGTGTAAACTTCACATTAAAAATAAGTTAGTGTTATAACCAAATGAAACACAACCCATTATCCAATAGAGGTAACCGTGCATAGCGGAGGGATATGTTATCATAATACATTTGGTAACATGGTTTGGTTTGACTTCTTGGCGCGTGTCTGAATTCCATAAACATGTGACATATCCTAAAACTTGCTTATCAGCAAATCTCGCTGCACTGGGCGCGACAGATACTAGAGCAAGGCATGCCAGAAATACGAAACCTAATGCTTTCGAAAGGAAGCCTTGGACATCACGTGCGTCGGGGGACCAGCGTCATCTGATTGGCCTTTAACAGTTGTACAAGGCAGAGCAAAAAGCATCGTTTTTCCGTCCATTTTACGCTTGAAAAACTGGACGCTTTTCTGGACACTTTCTAGACGCTGACCAATTAATCAATTTTCATGAATTTTTAATCGTTTTTCCGTCCAATGACCATATACGAAAAAACCCGACGTTTTCTTGTTTGCAGTGACATATAATATGTGTTACAGTTGACCACTTTCTTAATGTCATTGTGGGTTCAAAGCTTTCGGCCATGGGAGCCGTGCCATTTTTCACTTGTCAGAGGGGTACACAAAGTACGTCATCTTGACTAATATTTTTGGTTCGGTGGCTGGGTTAGCTCGCTGACTTTGTGTGCTGGCGATTGGGTGCCTCACTCACAGTGTGGGTTCAAATCCCGGACTAGACCCAACGCCAAACAGTACGAGAATCTGTACTTGAACAGAGAAAGTGTTATCCCAATTGAAACATTTGTTATAAATGTATATTCGGCTTTGGATGGGTAATCATATCAGAGGACTGATAATAACTGATAATAGACCTGGAGGAGCTTCGTAACGCACGTTACGATTGGTAAATGAACATGTGTGTGTGTATGTGTGCCTGTTGGAAATTACATAAAATATTCATCTTGACGTGTATAAGTGTTATATCGTCACTGCAAAAATAATGAGTATTTGTCTTTAGTATTAACATTCAAATACGTTATATCTGTATTAGCGATATTGTCTACGTTCCGCCGGTGAGTAAACGTTAGTCTTATTATCTCGTAGTATAAATATTGAAAGGAATTGTATTTCTGAAACATACAGTTTTTCCGATGAATCACGTCTGCACTAGCGCTTGATAACAGCCTTGTGTTTGGGTGTTTCAGTAATTGAAATTGCTGCTCTTGATATTTTGAAACTATGAAAAGAGAGAGAGAGAGAGAGAGAGAGAGAGAGAGAGAGAGAGAGAGAGAGAGAGAGAGAGAGAGTGCAATGAGTAGTACGTCCAGATTAGTGTAAAGGCAACATTTAATATTTAAATTCAACAACTCCCCTTTTCAATCTTTTTTCCTGATTTGAAAGTAAATGCAAACACAATCGGCCGGAATACAATGTACAATTCGGTCCACTTCCATATGACTATATAGCTTTCGGGTCCCTTTTCGATCGGTTTGGGTTGGAGCCTAGATAGCCATAGAATATATTCATTTCGGAATCTTCCATATCACTGGGGCTCCTCTTCAATTTAACTGAAGTTACTTGTTTCTTTCAAAACTATACTAAGCATTAGTCTGAATAGACATCACCAGTTTGGAATTGTACAATTCCGAACTTTCACGAGACTCTGTTTATGAATCATTATCAAATAGTGATGACATTAAATCTAGGAAAAAATACGCGAAATCGCGCATGCACAGAACGGAAAATTTGGACAAGGCATTAAGAAATCCGCATGCGCAGAACGATTGAATTCAGTACTTCCGCAAAGCGCTTCGAGTGCAGCGTCAAACGTGGGCCTAATCTAACACGCGAGAACTGACCAATGAAAGCTGAGAAGTAGGAATACCGGTAGACAATGTCAATCAAGAAAGGGAGGAGCTTCATGATATCGTTCTCTTCCAGAAAATTCCGATGTCAAATAACGATGTTATTTGGACGGAAAAAAACCCGATGGTTTGAAAACGTCCAAATAACGTCGTTTTTCCGTCCAATGACCATATACGAAAAAAACTCGACGTTTTCGTGTTTGCGGTGAGATAGACGTTGTACACATTTGGCGGTTTTGTTGTAGGATGATGATGACGAGTGTGGTGCCAACTTAGATTGAAGACCCTCATGAAAGACAGGAAGTAGTGAAGAATCTTCAAAGATAGAAATTAGAACGATATATTCAGTGGTTGAATATGGCCGAGATGGAGAAAGGTCAAAGTGACACAGACAGTGAAGAATGTACACCAGCAAATTGCAGGAGGAAAAGCAATGATGAGGACAACCCGCCTGGAACCACTGACGGATCAGGCAGTACTGTGGAGGATGCAGGAAATAAAGATGTTGATGAAGAGAGTGCTGACGAATGTTTGACTGGTGACGTTACAGATGAAGACGATGGGGATAGAATAGAAGATATGTATGAACTTGGAGCATGTGTTACAAAGGTCAAATTCCAGACTGTCCAACAACAGTCATACCATCTTGTAGGTAAAGGTATGTCTGCCTTCCGGAAGTAAGGCTAGTAAGTGGTGGCTTACTCACATGGTGAGTTTTCCTCGGTCAATTGGCTCGTAATATTTCTGAAAGAGCCAACACAATTAAAAAAACGAGCCAATGCAAAATAAAAGAAAGTAGTGGAAGTCAGGCTTAAGATTTGTGCTCATATCATCTTCCCGAGGCAAGGGACCTAACTGACTCTAATAGTCCAGTTTCCACCCTTGCTGAACTGGACTGGAATTATGGAGTTATATTTTGGCTGAACTAGCACAGCCCAATTAAAATCGCATAACGAAATCAACATCCAGTTCGTAAATAACATGGATTTCAATGAGCACATTTCGGACGACTGCAGGATTTATAGGGGTGTATACCGTCAACTAAGCATCGTCTGATAGTTTCCAAATCTTTTGACGTTTTTAATCTAGGTATTGACGTGATTTGATGCATTTGATGCACCCATGTTATTACAATATATATCAGATCGTCTTGACTGAAGTTAAATATGATTGGTCAATATGAGGGTTATAGAAGGGACATAACTCGTAATAGCTACTGGTGGCGCTACGATCGAGCCCAGTTATCCTAGCCCGGGCCAGTTCTGCAAGGATGGAAACTGGACTTCAGGGTCAGTTAAATCCCTTTCCTCGGGAAGATGTACTCATACACAATATGAGTTATGAATAGCCATGCCAAGTAATCATCAAAATCCATTCTTTTTCAAAAACTGTCCTCTAAACTTCAATCTGCGCCAATTGGAAACAACCAAAACAGTGTTTTATTGCAACATGCTAAGATACAAATATAGCGGTCAGAACAGGCCGTTTGCTAAGTAACCATAAGGTTTTCCTGAAGCTAATCCGAAGGGATAATATCAATGTTTGTTCCCATCATAGACACCACGGCACTGGCACAACACATTGTGGGATGTTGTCAGCAACCACAGGGAGAAATAGCGTCAACATCACAGCAGGGGACACAACTCCAGCAAGCTTCAGCTGCTGATGTTGATCAGACAACAAGTCAATTACAGTTGTCAACAACTACGTCTTGTGTAGTCCCCGAAACAACGATTGCGCAAGTCCCGAGAACAGCAGCACTGACACCAGCGTCCGCATCCTCTCTTCTACCCAGAATACCAGGATCTGTTGTATCAGAGATACAGTCATCAGGGCTACCTGGGGTACCAGTGCCTGTGGATTCTCCTTCAGGTGAGCGCGGTTACATGATACACACACATGACTAATGGTTCAGATATCTAATACTTACAACAGGATAATTATAAATGACGCTTTTTAGAAAATATCCTGTGGCATCTATGCCTACATTTTTGGGCAGGGTGTCTGTAACCGTATACAGCCTCAATACAATCTCACCCGGACTGATCAGAGAGTTGTAAGCTCTGCTCTATTTCAGGTTAGCCATTTTAGAAAACGTAATGAGACCTTTAATGGAAATATAATGACTAATATGAAGTAGTAAGCCTCTCTTCATGATCGTTGTCTATAGAGATATCTAAGTTCAAATATAGAGACATCTGTGATGGCTTCAGTCCCATTTTACGTTCCAGGTGTCCAGTACAACAAATTCTACGTACAGCAGAATTTTGGGGATGTGACAGTCAGGGGCGCCAGGAATCTGAACTTTGGCGGAACCCAGAACATTAGAGGAACACAGAACGATGGTGCACCTCGGACCAACCAGGAAGAGGAGAAACACCTGACTGCAGCACAGAAGATCAGGAGTGAGTTATCCACTTACTTTCGTAAACTGTCTGATCTCGTTTAGAACAATAACTTACACAGAAATGAGAAATGCTATGAGAACACATGTTTCAGTTTGATCAGTTTGATAGATAATACTTTTAATATTTTGTGTTCGCAGGGCACGTGTCAACATAAGGATGCTCAGAGTCAAACCGCATTTGATGATGGCTACAATATGTTCCTTTAACTGAGAATAAATTATCATAATAATTAGATTGTTAACTTTAATACAGATTTTTTAATATAGTCAAATATAAAGCCCTGTTTTTACAGAAAGAACAGAATCCAGGATACAGTCGTGGACTAAAGACATGGTGGAGACAAAAGGCCTGCAGAAGGTGACAGACAAGCTAGACAGAGGAGCAACATGGGTGACAATTAAAGGAAGACCAGGAGAGGGGAAGTCTACAATAGCCTACATGGCTCTCAAAGATCAGCACACTCAGGGGAGACAAGTGTATCAGGTTGTGTCACCGGAGGAGTTCAATGAGGTCATAACGGCCAGCATTGACCCTGTCATTATGTTAGATGACATATTTGGTGATCTGGAATTTGATGTAGCAGAATGGGCCAAGTGGAGACCAAGTCTACAACCTGTTGTGGATGTGAAAGATCCTGATAAATATACAGAAAAGGATCCCATAGACAAGTCCACTAATATCAATAATGGTTTAAAGAGAACAAAAGATGAGCAAACAGAGCTGAAAAGAACAGCGCCTAACAAAGACCAAACTATCATTATCCTCGTAGGCCGTGACTATGTGCTGAAATCCTCACTGGCAGACTTGGGAAAGATGGCAGATTACATATCTAGTCCCCTCTATGTGGTGGAAGTTTCTTCTCAGAGAGACTCTTATGAACGAAGGAAGATTTGGCATGTTCATGTCAAAACAAAGACAAAGATGGACTTTGATGAGTCAACTGTGTCTCAGATATGTCAGGCTGACTGTCCACACGGCTTTCCCCATGTATGTAAAATGTTTGTCACGACATATGGAAAGGATCAGACTCAGCTTTCAGCAGAGACTGTTTTAGATTTTTTTAAAATGCCTCTTGTGTTCCTCAAAAAGACTTTGGATAAATTTCTTAAGGATAAGATAAAGCGTTCACTGTTCATGGCTATGATTAAAAGAGATGGGAAGATTAGTGGACAGGAGTTGGAGGAGAATGGTTATCTTGCGTATGAAAGCATAACAGCTGCTGATGATTTGGTTGGATCTTATCTCAAGAAGGAAGATGACACATACATGTTTGACCATCCCTCTATATATGACAGTATTGCTTTAATACTCAGTACAAAACAATCAAAGTTTGTCATCGAAAATTGTAGTTTGTCATTCATCCATCAGCGACTTCGTCTTAAACCATCCACAAGATTAGGGGAAAATGTTCCTAGTGAGACAGGTCTTGTTGCAAACATCTCATGGACCTTTGCTGGACATTTAGCCAGAAGATTTGCAACTGAAATTGAGAGAGGCAATTTCTTGCATGTCTTATCGCACGAGGCATGTTGTAATTCAAAGTTTATTGACTTGCTCATGGACTGTCTGAAGACAAACTGTCACATGTCTGTTCCTGATATTCTGAAACTAGCTGATAATTCTTCAAGACAATACGTTTTAAGCGACAAGTCACATTCATTTTGTGAATTGCTTTCAAGCAATAAGTCACATCATCTGATCAAATTTATTATGGAGAAAGAAAACATATCATTCAGCCAAAATGAAAAAAGGGACATTTTACTTGGGGTGTGCAAGAATGCTGCTTGTAGTGTATTGACCTACATCAGTGAACACATGAAGCTTGACATGGATGCTCGATATGGTCGGCTTAATGTAACTCCGATCATGTTAGCAGCGGAAACCAAAAACAGTGAGTTTGTCGATCAGATTCTGGCCCTTGCCCCTGACCTGAATGCATGCGATAAACTAGGAAATACTGTCTTTCATTACCTTTGCAAGTATGGCCTTACATCAGCCGTGGAACAAGCAATTAACACGGGTGTGGATGTCAATGTGCATCGTGTAAATGGTGCCCTTTTGTACCTTGCCATAAAAAATGGTCACTTAGGGGTGGTGAAACTGCTGGTGAAAACAGGATTTCATCTGGATAACCAGAAAGGTCTTAGAATTGCTTTCATGAGCCAGAACAAGGACATGGTAGACTTTCTTTTAGACAGAGGAGCACAGGTTGATGGTGATGCTGTAAACAGTGCTTGTAAGGTGGGGAACTTGACTATGGTCAAAATGTTATTTGAGAAGGGTGCTACTGTTAACATGATGTCATCTAATGGAGACACTCCTCTTCACAGCTCATGTAGACGACACTCAGATGTTATGTCATTTCTGCTGGCGAAAGGAGCAAGTGTGAATCAACTTTCATCTGATACAGGTGACGCACCACTTCATACAGCAGCACATCGGGGATATACAGTGTATGTCAATGTGTTACTGAAGGCTGGGGCTGATGTGAATGTACAGAATAAGACAGGTGACACACCACTTCATACAGCAGCACATCGGGGATATACAGTGTGTGTCGATGTGTTACTGAAGGCTGGGGCTGATGTGAATGTACAGAAAAATACAGGTGACACGCCACTTCATACAGCAGCACATCGGGGATATACAGTGTGTGTCGATGTGTTACTGAAGGCAGGAGCTGATGTGAATGTACAGAAAAATACAGGTGACACGCCACTTCATACAGCAGCAGGAAGGTGGGGATCTGCAGAGTGTGTTGTAGTGTTACTGAAGGCTGGGGCTGATGTGAATGAACAGAATAAGACAGGTGACACACCACTTCATACAGCAGCAGCAGGGTGGGGATGTGCAATGGCTGTTGAAGTGTTACTGAAGGCTGGGCCTGATGTGAATGTACAGAATAATACAGGTGACACACCACTTCATACAGCAGCATTTTTTGGATCTAAAAACTGTGTTGAAGTGTTACTGAAGGGTGGGGCTGATGTGAATGTACAGAATAAGATAGGTGACACACCACTTCATACAGCAGTAGCAGGGTGGGGATCTGCAATGTGTGTTGAAATGTTACTGAAGGCTGGGGCTGATGTGAATGTACAGAATAAGACAGGTGACACAACACTTCATACAGCAGCAGCAGCATGGTTGGGATCTGCAGAGTGTGTTGAAATGTTACTGAAGGGTGGGGCTGATGTGAATGTACAGAATAATAGAGGTGACACACCACTTCATACAGCAGCAGACAGTGGATCTACAGAGTTAATTGAAGTGTTACTGAAGGCTGGGGCTGATGTGAATGTACAGAATAATACAAGTGACACACCACTTCATACAGCAGCAGACAGTGGATCTACAGAGTGTATTGAAGTGTTACTGAAGGCTAGGGCTGATGTGAATGTACAGAATAAGACAGGTGACACACCACTTCATACAGCAGCAGCAGATGAGGAATATACAGTGTGTGTCAATGTGTTACTGAAGGCAGGGGCTGATGTGAATGTACAAAATAATACAGGTGACACACCACTTCATACAGCTGCAGACAGTGGATCTACAGAGTGTATTGAAGTGTTACTGGAGGCTGGAGCTGATATGAATGTACAGAATAAGACAGGTGACACACCACTTCATACAGCAGCAAAGAGTGGATCTACAGAGTGTATTGAAGTGTTACTGGAGGCTGGAGCTGATATGAATGTACAGAATAAGACAGGTGACACACCACTACTGAAGGCTGGAGCTGATGTGTCACACACCACTTTGTAAAACAGCATAGCAGGGATGTGCAGAGTGTGTTTAGCGAAGATTTTATTCCATGTCATAGTTCCCCATTCATTACACACTGGTAAATACGTCTCAGATTTCATCAGTATATATATAGTTATGGGCGTGGCTATGTAGCCTGGTGGGTAAGGTGTCTGCTCCTGTGGACTGGGTTTGACTTCCTGGAAAGTGTTCAGCAGAATCTCAGCTGCTGTCAAATTATACCCACATAGTTAGACGAGAAGCATTGACAAATCGTACCCACCTACTCGCTGCTGCTCTACACTCTCTTACTCCATGCGTTGTACCTGTCAAATAGTCATTTTGTTTTGAGTGAGTGAGTGAGTATGGTTTTACGCCGCTTTTAGCAATATTCCACCAATATTACGGCGGGGGACATCAGAAATGGGCTTCACACATTGTACCCATGTCGGGAATCGAGCCCGTTTTTTTGGCGTGACGAGCGAACGCTTTAACCACTAAGCTACCCGACCGCCGCTTATTTTGTTTTGGCAATGTTTACATCATTCTGTGGTTTGTAAATCACTCACTCTCTCCCTAGCCGATAACCACGAACCCTTAAACTTCTATTTCTGCAAGTACTTGATCACATTTCGTTCCTGGATCACCTTTCGCTTCCAAAAGTCAGAGACTGGTGCTTATTTTACCGATTTCTCAAAGGGAAACGATTTCCCTAGCTGACTCAAACTTCTTGTGGATATACCCCAACGACATCATGTCTATGACAAAGGATTTCTCTGTTTCTAAGTTCCGTCTGTGAGGCTAAGAACTTGTCAATTAACCCCTGTAGGACTAAAAAGAAATACATTGACTCCCTGGTGTAACGTACAGACTATAGTACGAATGTAGTGTAGTTGCAACCTTCAACATGTCCGTCTAGCTTCTGTAGACTCCCTGGTGTAATGTACAGAATATAGTGTGAATGTAGTGCAGTGTAGTTGCAACCTTCAACATGTTCAGCTAGCTTCTATAGACTCCCGGGTGTAATGTACAGAATATAGTGTGAATGTAGTGTAGTTGCAACCTTCAACATGTTCGTCTAGCTTCTATAGACATCCTGGTGTAATGTACAGAATATAGTGTTAATGTAGTGTAGTTGCAACCTTCAACATGTTCGTCTAGCTTCTACAGACTCCCTGGTGTAATGTACAGAATATAGTGTGAATGTAGTGTAATTGCAACCTTCAACATGTTCGTCTAGCTTCTATAGACTCCCTGGTGTAATATACAGACTATAGTTGCAACCTTCAACATGTTCGTCTAGCTTCTATAGACTCCCTGGTGTAATGTACAGAATATAGTGTGAATGTAGTGTCGTTGCAACCTTCAACATGTTCGTCCAGCTTCTATAGACTCCCGGGTGTAATGTACAGAATATAGTGTGAATGTAGTGTAGTTGCAACCTTCAACATGTTCGTCTAGCTTCTATAGACATCCTGGTGTAATGTACAGAATATAGTGTGAATGTAGTGTAGTTGCAACCTTCAACATGTTCGTCTAGCTTCTACAGACTCCCTGGTGTAATGTACAGAATATAGTGTGAATGTAGTGTCGTTGCAACCTTCAACATGTTCGTCCAGCTTCTATAGACTCCCGGGTGTAATGTACAGAATATAGTGTGAATGTAGTGTAGTTGCAACCTTCAACATGTTCGTCTAGCTTCTATAGACATCCTGGTGTAATGTACAGAATAAAGTGGGAATGTTGTGTAGTTGCAACCTTCAACATGTTCAGCTAGCTTCTATAGACTCCCGGGTGTAATGTACAGACTATAGTGTGAATGTAGTGTAATTGCAACCTTCAACATGTTCGTCCAGCTTCTATAGACTCCCTGGTGTAATGTACATACTATAGTTGCAACCTTCAACATGTTCGTCTAGCTTCTATAGACTCCCTGGTGTAATGTACAGAATATAGTGTGAATGTAGTGTCGTTGCAACCTTCAACATGTTCGTCCAGCTTCTATAGACTCCCGGGTGTAATGTACAGAATATAGTGTGAATGTAGTGTAGTTGCAACCTTCAACATGTTCGTCTAGCTTCTATAGACATCCTGGTGTAATGTACAGAATATAGTGTGAATGTAGTGTAGTTGCAACCTTCAACATGTTCGTCTAGCTTCTATAGACATCCTGGTGTAATGTACAGAATATAGTGTGAATGTTGTGTCGTTGCAACCTTCAACATGTTCGTCTAGCTTCTATAGACTCCCTGGTGTAATGTACAGACTATAGTGTGAATGTAGTGTAGTTGCAACCTTCAACCAGACTATTGTGTGAATGTAGTGTAGTTGCAACCTTCAACATGTTCGTCCAGCTTCTATAGACTCCCTGGTGTAATGTACAGAATATAGTGTGAATGTAGTGTAGTTGCAACCTTCAACATGTTCGTCTAGCTTCTATAGACATCCTGGTGTAATGTACAGAATATAGTGTGAATGTTGTGTAGTTGCAACCTTCAACATGTTCAGCTAGCTTCTATAGACTCCCGGGTGTAATGTACAGACTATAGTGTGAATGTAGTGTAATTGCAACCTTCAACATGTTCGTCTAGCTTCTATAGACTCCCGGGTGTAATGTACATACTATAGTTGCAACCTTCAACATGTTCGTCTAGCTTCTATAGACTCCCTGGTGTAATGTACAGAATATAGTGTGAATGTAGTGTCGTTGCAACCTTCAACATGTTCGTCCAGCTTCTAAAGACTCCCGGGTGTAATGTACAGAATATAGTGTGAATGTAGTGTAGTTGCAACCTTCAACATGTTCGTCTAGCTTCTATAGACATCCTGGTGTAATGTACAGAATATAGTGTTAATGTAGTGTAGTTGCAACCTTCAACATGTTCGTCTAGCTTCTACAGACTCCCTGGTGTAATGTACAGAATATAGTGTGAATGTAGTGTCGTTGCAACCTTCAACATGTTCGTCCAGCTTCTATAGACTCCCGGGTGTAATGTACAGAATATAGTGTGAATGTAGTGTAGTTGCAACCTTCAACATGTTCGTCTAGCTTCTATAGACATCCTGGTGTAATGTACAGAATATAGTGTGAATGTTGTGTCGTTGCAACCTTCAACATGTTCGTCTAGCTTCTATAGACTCCCTGGTGTAATGTACAGACTATAGTGTGAATGTAGTGTAGTTGCAACCTTCAACCAGACTATTGTGTGAATGTAGTGTAGTTGCAACCTTCAACATGTTCGTCTAACTTCTATAGACTCCCTGGTGTAATGTACAGAATATAGTGTGAATGTAGTGTAGTTGCAACCTTCAACATGTTCGTCTAGCTTCTATAGACTCCCTGGTGTAATGTACAGAATATATTGTGAATGTAGTGCAGTGTAGTTGCAACCTTCAACATGTTTGTCTAGCTTCTATAGACTCCCTGATGTAATATACAGAATATAGTGTGAATGTAGTGTAGTTGCAACCTTCAACACACACACACACACGCACGCACGCACGCACGCACGCACGCACGCACGCACGCACACACACACACACACACTGTGATATTGGCAGCAGACCGGCCTATTTTGTAAATTCATGGGACGAGGGTGCAACGTGGTTTTGTTTCGCGCAACTTGGTTTTATCATTCAACATGCATCTGGTGCAAGTTAAATCAAGTTCCTAAAATCCATGCGAAAACTTAAACACATTTTTATGTGTAATTTTTTCATTCATCTCAGTATACAGCATAAATCAGTGATATACAATGACGTTCACGTTTCAAGAACATGTTGGACGGAATGTCATGGTACAAGTTAAATCATGTCTGATATTTGAAGAAATTGTAGTGTCCATTTTCTCTCGAAGTTTGCAAAACAGCTGTTTTTTTCTGGTCACATAACTTTCTACTTGTGTAACATTCAAAGTAATTCTTAGAAATGCTTCTCGGTTTAACTACTGCTTTAAATACTTGATATATATATTAATTTTATAGTTAAGCAGCCAGAACGAGGTTTTTCATGAAGTTATAATCACTGTTTACAGACATGTTTCCTATTTTCAGGTTCATTCTCACACAAAATACACAAATCTTTATCTATTTTCATCTGTTGTAGTTCCGCTTGGGTGTATACTATTTGATGAATAAATATGATAATATTACAAATTGAGCAACATGGTTTCTTTATTGCATGGTGAGTAAGGTATTTGGTCCTGGGTTTGGTCATGACCCGGGTTTGACTTGAAAATGTTCAGCCGATGTCAGATTAAGCCGAAATACGGAAAAATCGTGCTCACTCCCTCCCTTGGGGTTGTATGTGATACGGATGGTGTTGCTCATGCTATCATTCACTGATTTGGGCAATACCTACTGACACCAGTAACACTGATTACACTTCACTCACTGCACGCGTGAACACAATCACTCACTCATTCATGGCAACGTCCCCCCATGTGTCCCTGAATGAAAGACTTCTATCAGTTGTTTGTCTGCTTTTAATGACTGACCAGGCTGCCAGGTTGTGTGTCACCAGACCGAAGCATTCTACCCTGGTGGTGAGTGCTACACTGATGGCGATGCCGGTGTATGACACGGGTATGAGGGTGAGTGTGTACTAGTGGGTGGGTGCTTCTACTCTTGTGGTCAGTGCTACACTGATGGCGATGCCGGTGTATGACACGGGTATGAGGGTGAGTGTGTACTAGTGGGTGGGTGCTTCTACTCTTGTGGTCAGTGCTACACTGATGGCGATGCCGGTGTATGACACGGGTATGAGGGTGAGTGTGTACTAGTGGGTGGGTGCTTCTACTCTTGTGGTCAGTGCTACACTTATGGCGATGCCGGTGTATGACACGGGTATGAGGGTGAGTGTGTACTAGTGGGTGGGTGCTTCTACTCTTGTGGTCAGTGCTACACTAATGGCGGTGCCGGTGTATGACACGGGTATGAGGGTGAGTGTGTAGTAGAGGGTTGGTGCTTCTATTCTGGTGGTCAGTGCTACACTTATGGCGATGCCATTGTATGACACG